TAACGCCTGTCAATTATGTCAGGAAGACCATGCAATGTTTCTGATATACTGGCAGATTTGGTTGAAGCTGTAAGACCTCTTGCTCAAAACCAGCAGCGTGTAGTAGAACTGAATGAACTTGGGACATCATTGCAAGTTGCTGTAGAAGAACCTGCTTTGCGACAGGCTCTGAGCAATTTAATTGAGAGTGCATTATTGCGTACGCATACTGGGGGAAAGGTAGAAATTGTGTCTACCGGAGCACCGGCAGGTGGTGTTCTTGTAGTAATTGATGATGATGGGCCTGATATGCACTATATGGTAATAGTTGCAAACTTTGAACTATGCTAACTTTATCTTCTATATACAATACAAATTAGAGAATTAAGTTTTCTGCTATTCATGATTTGTCACTCACCATGTACTGTTGGTCATAGATTTATTGTATTGTTGGTGTATTTTTCTTCAGACGCAGATGCATTCTCTCACTCCTTTTGGAGCTGATCTCTTATCAGAAAATATGGTTGAAGACAACATGACATGGAACTTTGTTGCTGGACTGACTGTTGCTCGTGAGATACTCGAAAGTTATGGCTGTGTTGTCCGTGTCATATCACCCCGAACCGCAGATGCTCCCCTTGGAGCAGGTGGAACGCGAGTAGAACTCTGGCTTCCTTGTATCATGGAATTATCCAGGATTAATGGCCCTGCTCAGGAGGCGTAGCTGCGTAGCAAGAATTGAAACTGTCCGCGGTAAGATTGTTGTACTTGTATGGAATAGAGAATTAATCCTGCCTCTATCTGATGATTTGCGAGAATGAGGTGGTAGAATTTGGAAAAAGTTTCATTGATGATGCATCTAAAATTTGCAATTTCGAGGAAGTTGTGTATAGATTTTACTTCCCTTTCCACAACATGAAAACTCTTGTACAGAAATAAGCTGAAATAGGGCTATTGGAAGGCGCATATATGGACCAACTGTTGTTTCATAATTCCATCACTCATATGTAAAAGTTTTTACGTAGCTTACAAACTTACTGGCTACAATGACTTACAGACTTCGATTATTGAGCGTGTCTACTTGTATTCATCACTTCATCAATATACCTTTCCTAAATTGATGGAGGGGTTATTTTTCTTTTTTGTATTTTAGTTTCTGGGTTTAGATTTGGTTATGACGCATCGTTTACATATTGTAATGAAACATTTGGTCATATCATTTGAAATTAAATTAAATATTAAAAAAAAAGTCAAGTCTCTGTGTGTGTGCTACAAACCTGGTTGTTTGGGTCATTAACCAACTCCATCAAACCCACAGGGACAGTATTGAATTGGCCCACATAGCCAGTTTCCTCCATTTGTGGCCTCTCGACTAATCAGTGGATGGCCTAACTTGATAAGAATTTTTAAGGATCGATCGAATACTCATGTGTTTAAGGATTTTTAAGAAATCATGAACTTATACACAACTAATATTTGAGATTTGGTTTTTCAAAAGAGGATGCGAACAATTCAATCCTTAAAACAATCATGCAATCATTTTAAAACGAAACAATGTTTAACTCCAAAGTTCTTCGCTGTCCTTGTCCGTGAGCTTACTCATCATGACAAAGGACCCTACACTACACCGGCAGCCAAACCCCAAACCCCACCACATTGGTGCACGACTGCCCAACGCCTAAACGCGTCAAATCCATCTCATTGCTCGGAGGATTTGGTTACTTGGCTTTTTCTTTCAAATAAAAAGAATCATAGAATTGGTTTCATTATACAAATTAACCCCTTTCTTCTTTTAACAAATTTTTGTTCATTTTTTATACAAGTGATATTTGAGGATGGATTATTCGAACACAAAATCTCAAGTATAGTGATAACTGCTCTTAAACACTTAAGCTACATACCTGTATATATTTTGTTCATTTATTTCTCAAATTTTATATAAATTGTGAGAAATGATATGCCAATTATGTCGTGGTCATATAGAGTTGTTGGCCAATAAATTCTATCTTCCTTATCTGAATAGGAAGGAATGATTGATACTCTTTCCATGGCATTCTCTTTGACACATTAAAATTCTTTACTTTGCAAGCAATGTAATTTCATATTAACTTTGTTTAGATCCAAATAATTTAGACCAAACATCTTTTGTAACTATCAATTAGTCAACAATAATTAAGATCCCATTTAATAACCATTTTAGTTTCCAATTTCTAGTTTCTAATTTTCAGTTTTCATTTTTTTTTTTTAAGTGAAAACAAAAAACTATTTAAAAGTTGTTCGGTAACTGACTTCAATTTTCAATTTTTTGGGGTCAAATTGTGATTTTGAGATCATATCATGAAAATGCATGCTTCAAAGAGTTCTTAGTATTTTTCAATGAGTTTTTTGGAGTTAGGATGATTTTTTGTTGTTGTGAATTTTGGATATGGAGGTCTCGAGGCTTTGCATGGGTCTGCAGCCAAATGCAAGAGTCGAGAGGAATGGTCCAAGTCGAGAGGTCTCAAATACCGAATTTTGGTAATTGGAGTGCATTATATGTATGGTGGTGATGTAAAATTATTGAATGAAAAAGAAGCAGGAAAAAAAAAAAAAAAACTGAAATTGTTACCAAACATGTTTTAAAAAATAAGGGTGATTTTGAGAACTAGTCTTCCCTAAAAAAAAAACTGAAAACAAAAACTGTTACTAAATATGTTTTCAATTTTCATAAAAAAATGAAAATGAAATGTTTATCAAACAAACCCTAAGTTTTTTTCTTTTTGAATTAATAAAACTTGATGAATGTATTATACTATTTTATTAAAATTAGCCTCTCCGCCCACACTTCCGCGCCTGTGAGAGGTTTTTTTTAAAAAAAATTTGAATTAAAAAATATAATGAGTAGTTGTGCTTCATAAAAATAGGATTTATTATCTGATTTTTTTTCTTTTAATTTTATTTTATTTTAATATGAAAATATGTGGATTTACCATAATATCCTCATTTAATTAATAATTTTAATTCTTAATATGTGGATTAACCGATGATATTTTTTGGTATTTTGAATATTTTACCATTCTTTGTTTTTTTTATTATATATATATAGCTATATAGATAATGTGGCTAAAGCATTTCCGAACATGTCGTTGTGGGCCCCTCTAAATAGTATTTGGGTACCACGTTGAAGCACCAAACCAAAATGGCTGGAGGTGGAGGGCCCACTTGTGGATTGGCTGGCCCTCAAACGTTAATTCCGGGGCAGCCCTAGACATGCGGCTCCTCTTATTGGACGGGTCAAACTTCAAAGTCAACCAAAGTATGGTGAATGACTGCTTCCTATGCCTCTTTGAATCTTCTCTACCGTCTGATGGACTGGAAATCTATGGACGGGCATAGTCAATGATTTAGGCAGCCTCATAAAATCGCACGTCGACTGTATCTCCAAAAAAATTCTGATTCCCTGATTAATTAATTAATTGTCTTATGAAACGGTTTATATGGTTGTTGTTATCAAGACTTGTTTTTTTATATATAAAAAATTCTCATCTATATAAAGCAAAAGATAGAGAATAGTAAACATTCAAAATATCAGAAAATGTTATTGATTAATACAAACATTAAGAATTGAAATTATTAATTAAATAAGAATAATATAGTAAATTCATATTTTTTTATATTTAAAAAAATTAAAATCAAAAGAAAAAACATATAATGAATTCTATTTTTATGAAACACAACTACCCATTATTATTTTTAATTATTTTTAAAAAAAACCTCTCTCAACCTGGAATCGCGTGCAGATAAGCTAGTTATTAATAAGGTAAAAGAAAAAGTTGAAACAAAATGCTATATTCTTATTTGAAATGGTATAATTTTTAGTGCATCGTTTATAGGCACTTATATTTGAAAAAATGTCGGCAATATAATCCTATTTATTTATTCCTTAAAAAATCATATTTATTTATTCCTAAAAGAAATTACTTAAAATGTCTCTAGAATCTCCAATCCTTGAACCTTTCTACGAGCTAGAGTGTGGTAGGAAATGATAGTATTGGTATATAATCCTACATTAAATTTTTTTTTTCCTTTTTAAGTTTATGAGTTGGTGGGTACAAAGGAAGGGAAAGAAAAAAAAAAAGCTAACCATACTTACCCATTTTGTTTTGTTTTTTTTTTTGGGGCAGAGTTTTGTTGATATATTTTTTTTTCATAATATTTGGAATTTATACAAGTATTTTGTGAAACAAAAAAAAAATTACAGACAGTTATAATCAAATAACTGCCAATAGCTAACTCATTTTCTCGAAATAAATAATCGAGAGAGATAATATAAATTTAAAATTAAGTGTTTCATCAATACATAATACGGAAATATAGTTCGAGGTTATTGATTACGCTAATTTTAGACCGGCAATGATTGGCAAAAAAAATTTACAGTTCTGTTTTTTTGGTAAAAAAAATTATCCTAAATTAATTTGGTTTCCTTTATTCGTTGACTGCAATCATGCAAAGGCAGGACACAATAGACTTGACCTCCTTCCTACAATTTTCTTTACAAATTCAAAACATAAAAGCAAATACAAAAACCCAGCATTAACAGAAAAAAAAACAAAAAACAAAAAAACCCAGTACATTTGCTTCTAGTTGCTGAATCGAGAATTTTAATCATCTTTAAGTAATGCGTGATTCTCTTTGGTTCAATTTAATCACTCAGGAAGATTTATTCATATTCAATACATTATTGTTTTATACTTTTGTTTGTTTATGAGTAAAAAAATCATCGCTTATTCTAAAGACACAACAACAAAAACAAGAAGAAAAGTCGAAAAAGCAAAAGCACTAAAAAGCCGTTGCATTTTGCTTATGGAAATGATAATAATAAATATAAGTGGGTTACCAATTAAGGAGGGATCACGAGTCTGGTTAAGGTCAAAATCCTAATAAAATCCATTTTGAAAATAAGTTAGGTTGGTAATTCGCAATCCGTTTTTCTTACTTATTGAATTTAATTTGAGATCTCTGGAGAGATAAATATAAAATCCCCATATTTCTCTCCTTGTGTTTCCCTCCCGAGTCCAGCCAAGTCTCCCAGCTCTCTCATCATTTCACATACAACAATACAAATCGTCACTGCCAAAGGCCCAAAGCCAAACACACACACAAACAACGCAACCCTCTGCAAAATCACAAAATCATAGTTTTCTTGCTCTCAAACTGAAATTGCTGCGTTGCGTTTTTTCTTATTTTTTAACATCTTTTTATTATTTCTCTCACGCTAATTGTGCCCCGAGATCACCAAGTCCTGCAAGTGCTTTTTCGCGTGATTCTCAGCTTCTGAACCACTTTTCTCTACAGCAGATCTTGCTTAGCTATTCAACTATATGAGGTCAGTTTTGTTCTTTTTCAATTTCTCTGATTCACTTGTTACGCTTCTGTTTGGATACTGAGATTAAAAAAGAAAGAAAGAAAAAAAGGAGAGAGGTAGAGTGCTGCTCAGCTGAGCTCGATTGGTTGTTTAGCTTCTGATATTTGCATTTGATTTTTTTTTTTCTGCGTTTATTTTCAGCTTGAATTGGTTTGATTGCCACAGCTTTAAGCAATCCGAGATATCAATTTTTTATTATAATTTATTTTGTTTCGCTATTTACGAATTTGCTAGATCCTTATACTGTTTCGTTTGCGGTTTTGGTCGTGGAGTTTTATATTTAATTTTTAAGGTAAGAGATGTTTGATCGGAAAGGCTTGATGAGTACATTGCATATGTTTGATTATGTGAGCTAACTTAGTGATCGGGTTTATGCTTTTGGTCGTTGTGTTCTTTATCTTTGAAATTAAGCAAGCCCAGCTGCTTGTCTGTCCTAATTATAACAGTGGGGGAGGAAGTGGGTCTTTGTTATGTAGTTTGGGTGTTAATTCAAAGGGAACACGTGGTCTACTTTACCGTGGAGGTTTTTGAATGGGTGTTTGATTTGTGACTTTGTTTTAGCTACTGATTGTCAAATGGTAGCACATGGTTGCTTCTTTCTCGGCAGAGTTCTTGTAGAGGGCAAAGATGAACGAGCACATGATTTCTTGCTTGTTGTTTCTCTATATTGCGTTTGAAGAATGCCTATTCAAAAAGGTCTGAGTATAAGTATGCTGTTTCTGCTGTTAAATGGTCCATGTATTCTGCAGGTTCGATTTGAAGCACAGGGAAAGGTGAAATGTTGTTATTGAGAGAGATATAGAGAAAATATCTTACGGGAGCTCCTTAACCTTTTCATAGTATAATCAATAATGTTAGGTTAGCAGCTTTGGGTTGTGAGTTGTAAGTGCTATACCCATCTACTTTTACGATTTTGTCAACCCTGATTTATGTTGTTTTGATAGAAACAAATGTTCAGGTCATTCTCGTAGTTGTATAATCTTGTATTACTGAGTCGTAGAGTCTTGCTTAAATTGTTGTGTTCCTTCATGAGGGTCATCATTTCTTTTAAGGGGAATTCTCAACTGAAAACCTGTTAAATAATGCAGATCAGCTATCGCTTTCTACTTGCAGTTCATTTTTCCCTGAATTTATAGTCAGAAGCTTGTAAATAACATGGGAACCCTTTCACGCAGGTTAAATTTTGTGACAGTCTATTTTCATCGGAATGAGCTAACTTTTGTTGCTCTTTATATTTATTTTAGAGACCTGATCTTCTCTAACTGCATTTGCATCTTGTTGGCTGCAGTGCAGGTGGTAGAAAACCAAACGAGACTATGAGGCTTATTGTGACAACTTTTGTAGGAGTAGTTTTTGGATTCTTGATAGGTGTATCCTTTCCAACCTTGTCATTAACAAAGGTGCACTAATTTTTTTATGGGTATCTGTTACGCTTTGCTTTAATACTTACCTAGATGATGAAACATAATTAATGTGTGTAAAATTTGACAGCTGAACCTCTCATCCAGCCTTCTTCCAAATGTTGATCTGTCGTACAATGAGGACCAGAAATCAGACATCTCCAGGCAAACAATTCTAAATGCTTGGTCTTCTACGAGGAGTAATGATAGCTCAACTAAAGCTCAGAGTTCAAATGGTACAGCAAGGGTATACCTCCTCTCCCTGATATTAGCAGTAGTAGAAATTCCGAAATGACAGGTTTTACATCACTGTTAACTCTGTATGTTACTAAGGGGTGCATTGAATCTTAGCTACTTCGTAATTCAAATCCAGAACCAGTTCAATAAATGCATTTGAGGTTCTTGCGCTGTTCTACTACAGTACCTAAATTGGCTTTTGATTTTGGTCAAACAGGAGGGAAAGTATCATTTTTGGTCAGTCCCAACTGGAGATGATCTGGTTTAATAGTATTGATCGTTTGATCATCATTCCATTAAGCTCAATAAGGACTTCCTTAAAATAGAAGTAAATCTTTCCAAGGTTAATTGTTGTAGTTCTTGGATTATAGTGTGGGAGCCATGATTCTCAACTGAACCCGCTCTCATTGATATGATTTGGAGAAGAGACAGATTGAGAAAGAAGGGGTTTCATTTACCTGATATTGTTCACAATCTTCTCTCATTACTTTTATATTCCTTGTAAGATGAGGTGGCTTCATGTAATCACTGAATCATATATGCAATCTTGTACTTGCATGCTGGGACTATTTTGCTTCGTTTTCATGTTGTTTTACTATGAGGAGAGGCCTGATAATTGCTGAAAATATGAGTATCATTTCCAATATAGTTCACAGCTTCCTCTTCTGGCATTCCAAATTCTCGTTATATAGGCATTACTTATCTGAAGTTTACATTGCCTGCAGATTTGGGTGCCGTCAAATCCTAGAGGTGCAGAAAGACTACCACCAGGAATTCTTGCAGCTGAGTCAGACTTCTACTTGCGCAGATTATGGGGCAAGCCCAGTGAGGTGTGTATTCTGCTGTTACTTATGCAATCAACATAGTCACAATTTGGACTTTCCACAATGCCTGGAATGGTCCAATATATACTGAAGATAATGCAGAATGAATGGTGTTAATGGATTCCATTAGCATTTGGTGTTCAGGGAACCATTTTTTGATATGGAGTTCTCTGTTATCCTGATTTGAGTTACTCGGTAATTTATATGGCTTCCAGAAAAAAAAAAAATATCCTTTGTCATGTACCTGGTGATGTTTTTATGAATAATTTGATTTCTTCTTCTTCTTCTTTTTTTATTTTATTTTTTTATCTACCTCTTGGGTAGAATTTTTGTTTTTGGAGGCATAAAGATACTTCTGATTTCAATATACTGCACCGTGATTCATTTAAGTTGGCAATTGCAGGACTTGACCATCAAACCAAGGTACCTTGTAACATTCACTGTGGGTTTGAATCAGAAAAAGAATATTGATGCAGCAGTGAAAAAGGGCTCTCTCTCTCTCTCTCTCTCTCTCTCTCTCTCTCTCTCTGAGGTGGACGTGTGTCATTGAATACGTTTCTCTCACAGTTTTCAGAGAACTTTACAATTCTTCTTTTTCATTACGATGGCCAAACAACTGAATGGGATGAGTTTGAGTGGTCTAAGCGAGCTATACATGTTAGTGTCCGTAAGCAGACTAAATGGTATGCACAATTGCTAACTACTATCTGTACCTCAATAATGAATTGTTTCCTTGGTTTATGACTTTAAATTTTTTGTCAAAGGTGGTATGCCAAGCGATTTTTGCATCCTGACATTGTGGCCCCATATGACTACATATTTATCTGGGATGAAGACCTGGGAGTCGAGCATTTTAATGCAGAAGAGTGAGTGTTGGTTACAAAGTTATTCTTTTGAGTGAACTTATTAGCCTACTAAAAAACTTTCTTATGCCTCCCTTTGCAATCTAATTTCAGATACATAAAACTTGTGAGGAAGCATGGCTTGGAGATTTCACAGCCTGGTTTGGAACCCAACAAAGGCTTAACATGGCAGATGACAAAGAGGAGAGGCGATCGTGAAGTGCACAAGTAAATCATGAGACCTAAACTGAAATTTATTTCTATTAGATTTAGTTTAAAATTTAGGGAATAATCTTGTAATCCTTGTTCCCAATTATTCCAGACAAACAGTGGAAAAACCTGGCTGGTGCACTGACCCACATCTGCCTCCATGTGCAGCGTAAGACATTAAGATATTAAAGAGGGCATTTTAAGTGTTGTTTGTATAAGATTTGATCCTATACTTCCCTTTTGTCTGACATTTTTGTTCGCTTGTTTTAATTCAGGTTTGTTGAAATCATGGCTCCAGTATTTTCTAGAAGTGCCTGGCGCTGTGTGTGGCATATGATTCAGGTATTAAATATTGTAACTTGTTCGTTATCACCGCTTGTTTGTGTCCTTAATTGATTTAGTAGGCTTGTTACCTAATTTTATTATTGCAATACTTGATGATTGCAGAATGACTTGGTCCATGGGTGGGGTCTTGACTTTGCCCTGAGAAAATGTGTAGAGGTGAGTGACCCACGTTCTATCCTTCCTGGTGGGATTCCAAGGGAACTCAAAGTTAATATTTTTTTCTTTCTTGAAAACAGCCTGCGCATGAGAAGATAGGAGTTGTAGATTCTCAGTGGATTGTTCATCAAACCGTTCCCTCACTTGGAAGCCAGGTAAATAGCACTTTCTATCATTTCTCATTTCCTTATTAAACACTTTTTCAGATAATAGAACGAAATACTTAATCATTTTTGGCTTTCGGTAGGGTGAAACGCAAAATGGAAAAGCACCATGGCAAGGGGTATGTAGAGCTTCTTATTCTAACGATACAAGGGTTATCTTTTGGACACCAAATATATTTAACTGTTTGTTGGTAAAACGCATATATAAGTTTGCTGATAGCACTATTGTATATTTACTGGTCCCAGGTGAGGGAAAGGTGCAGAAAGGAATGGACGATGTTCCAGATGCGCGTAGCGAATGCGGAAAATGCTTATTTTAAGGCCATCGGGGTTGATCCTTCCAATTCGACAACCCATTAGGAAGAGCGACGATGACAGAGCTGCTATACACTCAATGATCTTGACCTCTATCTCGCTTAGAGTTTTACATAAATTTGTAAAATCCATTATAATCGCCATATTCATTAATTGACAGTCACAGTTTTAGGCCTCGAGTAAAACACGACGTCAATTAAATCCTTTAGAGTTTCAGTGCTTAGTGACCTCTACTTTGAGTGGGGTGCAACATATTATTGTTAGAGATATGTGCTTGTTAATTAAACATATACTATATACCAATAAATTCGAATTTTAAAGAGCCGATCGATTCTGCTAAGGTAGAAAAACCCTTCTCTTATCTTATTATTGTAATTTTTTCAGGTGTAAGTGTAATTAGTTTAACCAAGTAAAATGTAAGGAGCTGGGTTGTTGTGGACTTGTAGCTAGAGATGTGCTAGCTAGTTACCATGGGAAAAGGTTTTGCCAGGCAAAATGTAGGGGAGGATTGGATTTGAAGACCACCTTCATTTCACGCGGCTTCTTGTTTCATGAAGAACCAGATCTTGTCGCGTAATGCCTACAACTGTGGTCACAGCTCACTAAATCCAAAGAAAAAGATGCAAATAAAATTTGTTTGCGTCTTCGTATCAAGGTCGTGCAAAAGTGCAGCAAAATTCTTTGGTATTTTGGGTCACATGTTTCAGATGAAAATCTCTCTTGATAGTGGGATTTCAGCCACCGAATCGTTGAGCACCTCTCTAACAGTAGCTAGCTATTACCAAGCTGCCAACATCTATTTGAACCCTAATACAAGATACACTTGAGAATAACTTACTGAAATGCTAAAAACGGTCATCCGTGCTAAAACCCTAAATCCGAAAGTCTGACAGACAGTTACTCACGCTGCGCATGGATAATTGTATGATTAGAGCATTACAAACATGTTCAGTAATCTGAACCAGACAACTTGTGGGCTGATATTTTTGTGGTGTGATGTGTGTCAAAATTCTGGAGTGAATGCGATGGCTCACTGTCACTGCAATGAATTTCAGAAAGCGCACACAATTAGAAACACGTTACAACTGTCCGTGAGCAAGCAAAATCTATCAAACAATAATTGAATCAGGTTTGTTTTTGGGCAGTGGTGATGATTTTTGAGCATAAAAACGTGGACCACTCGCTTGGTTCCGAGAAGAAGAAGATATCAAATCATAAATATTATAGAAAGATATTGATTATTTGAGGGATATATCAATATATATTTGATAGACGTTCGGACTACATATGGAAGGAAACTATATATAGAAACTTTCAAACTAATAATAATAATATTATTATTATTTATTTTTATATATATAAACAAATAAAAGGATATGTATTGATATACCGACAGAGTCCCTCCACAAAATCGTTGGTCTTCCACTCGGCTACTCCCCCCGGAATCAAGAAACTTCCACGCAACAACTGGAAGGTCGCAAAACCTGCCACAACTCACCAACCCATTGGCCCTCCCAAAAGCTCCGTGGACACGTGGCGACGTCAATTTTACCCTTTTTGTGCCAGTGAAAATGTCAGCTTTTAATTTTTATTTTTCACTCCATTATATCAAAAATAACCAGTCACTATCTAAGCCTTTCACAGAACCTTACACGTGTCGCCACGTGTTGCATTTGAGTCATGAACCATGGTTAAATCCGTCATCTACCGTGGTTAACATGTTGGTGGCTATGGATGAGCCTTTAGGTCTATTTATCAGCAAGCCCAAGTTGGTTTTAATACTAGGTGTGAGGTTTTGGGCTTGTCATTTGGAAAAGCCAATTCCTACTTCCCACCCCATCTTTCCCCTTTTTTGGTGCCTCTCTGAGAGACTCTTCATTTGTGCCATAGATTTTGCAGAAACTGAGAGGTGTTCTCTGGTTGTGGGGAATTGTGGGTGTCTTGAGAAATTAACAGAGAAGCACAAATGGGGCTCTCAAATTTTCCTAGTGCAGCAGAGGGTGTGCTTCCAGTGCTGGTTATGAACACAGTTTTGTCAGTGGCTCTGTTAAAGAACATGGTAAGATCTGTGCTCCAAGTGATGGGTGCCAATGTGAATTCTCAGAGTTTTGAGGAAAACCAAGATGGGTGCCCAGCAGAGATGATTGCAAGAGAGAGAAGAATCTCCATTTCCCAGTTCAAGTCTCTGTGCCACAGCAACAGCAACAGCAACAGCAGGCCCAACAATACTCGGGTGGCCAAAACAAACAGTTGGGCAATGGAGTGTTGTGTTTGTCTGTGTGGTTTTGAAGCTGAGCAAGAGGTGAGTGAATTGTCCTGCAAGCATTTCTTCCACAAAGGTTGCTTGGAGAAGTGGTTTGACAACAACCATTCTACTTGCCCTCTCTGCCGCTCTGTTGATTAGATATACAACAACTCTACAGAGGGTCTTTTACTAAGACGAGTTTTTTGGGCTTTGGAAGCATTTCAGCTGTACTTTTGTTTTTGTTTTTGGGCCTTCTCCTTCCCTGTTATTTTTTAGCACAAATTAGAGAAAAGTTCTTGAACAATGTTGCTTTGCTTTATTTTGTGTGTGTACAAGTGCTAAGAAGATTAAAAATAATAAAAGAAGCAGGGGATTTGAGGCATTAATATAAAGCTTTATCTGTGGTTTCTTTTGGCTTCTGTTTCTGCTTCACCCACATCTTCAATCTGGAGCAGAGGGTTTGGACTTGGAATTGGACAGAAATTGTCTGAGGTAATTTCCACCACACAAAAAATAAAAGAAAGAAAAAAGAAAAAGAGTGGAACACATGTCTTGAAAGATTTCAGCATGTTTGATTTATGCCATTTATAAAAAGAGACGATTCAGATGCTATTTGGAAAAACAGGCTCTCTTTTTTCTTTTTCTTTTTGTATCATTTGTTGAGTTTAATGCTTTTACTTTTTTTCTTTTTTGGGTTTTAGACCACAAATAATTTTGAATCACCAAGTGAACAAATCAGCAGCCTTAATTTGGACGGATGGTATCACATGAGATACAAACATGAGATACAAATAGATAGGCATCAAAGTTTAGGTATGTGGGATTAGATTCTGATCTAAATTATGTGTAATAATTAAGTTGAATGAGTGGCTCTAGTTTAATTATGGGGCCACGTTCAATCTTGTCCTCTGTCTCTAATTCGAGAATGCCTTTGTTTTTTTCATTTATAATAATTACATCAGGAGGAAAGAAATCTTGGAGTTTCGATCCTGGTGTCAAGCAGAGGGGAAGGGGGAGGGGGAGGGCTGCAACTACTGTGGTAATTCCGCTCGACAATTCGAGCATGCATTTTAAGCTGTAATGAGATGTTCTGGTGTCACCAAATTTTCATCCAAAATAGAGATAGGGTTTTATTTCATTTATCTAATGCACAAGTTGTGTAATTTGACATACATAAATGAGGATGAAAATAAGAATTTAGGTGTTGGGGTTGGGTTGGGTTGGGAAGAAGATCAAGAAGACAGATTAGAAACTTAAAAGAAAAGCTGCAGTTTCATAAGAAATCATCAGCCTTTACATACCAAATATCAGATACAAATTTGAAAGCAAAGCTTTGACATTATTTATATGGTAACATATATAGCACAAGTTAGCCCATGCCCTCTGTAATATATTATTGAGGGCTGATAATTAACCTTGAATATACAAGGGGGGGTTGTGCTTAATAATCTCTCAGGCTACGCTGCTCGCTCGCCAGGAATTTCTTATGCTCGAACTTGATAAACTCATCAGCTTCATCATCAACATCTTCTGCCTCTTGAACCACATAGTTCTGACGAACTGGAGTGTGCTGATATTGTGCCCCGTATGCCCTCCTTGTTCTCGGGGCCTCCTCAACAACACGTTCCTCAAACTCAGTGCTGAACTTGACATGGTGTTTTGGGCGATGCTGATGGGGTTCCGAAATGGGCCTGTTAGGCATAGGAGCCACTACTGTGGTTACAAAGAACGGGTAGTCGTTTGAGTTACTACTTATGAACGACATTTTCTTTTCTGTAGTTGTCAAACGCTTGGTTTAGTAGGTTAGAGGATGCTGAGGTGAAGGGCTTGTATTTATACATATATATATATATGGTTAAGGTAGAGGAACGTGCAGGGTTTGAATTTTTGAGCTGCATTATATCTACAGAATAAGATTATATTCTTGAACGATAAGACTGAATCCAATGCCTCTCTTTCCGGCCAACTTGGTGGTCTACAGAATCCCATAAAGAAGAAGCACTAAAAGAGTTCCCTTGGGATTCTTGGATTGCAAAAAGTTGGGGCATTTTGAGATATATTGGGGAGGAGGAATGGAATGCTTAAAACGAAATTCGGATTTGCATCAATGGTCAAAGCCTTTATGATAACAATTTGAGGAAACGAGTTTTGATCTTGCCAGGAAGCCAATTTGTATCCGTCACTTCATTGATTTGGCTATTTAAGATCACTTTCCGGAATTGAGTGTTCAATTTCATAATCATTAATAAGTTCTAGCTACTGATAGGTTAGATTCTTTGAACATATTAGAGTCTATTTGATAATCATTTCAATTCTCGTACCATGGGATATTGCTAATTGACAACAATGACAGATGAAAAAGATTTAGTATTTGACCACACCACACCTTCTTTGTAAAAGAGAGGCTTGAAAGGCAGTTAAAAGTATGGTAGATTTTTGAAAGCGTGAATTGTGATGGTGACTTCGTTGAAATTCATGAACAGGTGGTGATCATGGAGCAATTTTTACCTACAATTGGCACACTGTCCGCAGGACTTTAATAAGATAGGCTTTTCAAGATTCAGATAACAGTGAATCGTTTTTCATGAGAAGGTGATACAATGAACAGGGCATATAAAATAATTTTTGGACCACCATGAGAGTTTAATGCTTGGAGGTTCGGACAAGTCAGAGAACTTTTTATTTTAGCAGACACCAGTAGGGTTTTTGTTCTCCCCAAATGCAGGCTAATATGTGGTCAAATTTTCAGATACTTCACTACTGAATTTTAATTCAAATAGACGAGGGTTTTGCATTTCTTCTTTCTTTCTCTTCCCATTTATCTGGTTCAGCAAATTTCAACTTATCTAGCTAGAAGGTGGGAGGAATGCAGGGGAATTGAAAACAACCAAACATCCTGGATTATCACCAACCAAGTTTTGTTTTAGTAATTATGAGCTTTTTATTTATAGCTTTTGGTTCAGAAAGTATCAAAGAAAAGAGCAACTGAGCACATCATACAGTGATCTTAAAACATCAAAGTAGAGGCAGCAGAACATTTTGCAATGACTTAGCACCAAACACAACTTTGATGACAAAAATCTCTCCCATTTTAGGCTCCCTTTGACAGCCACTCAGATTTCCAGCCCCCGTTGCGCTTCCACCTCATGATGTCATCTAAGCCATGGCAGTACTGAAGGCCGTCGTGATTACCCCAAACACTGCGCTCATATCTCATTTCCTGCACTCTCAGTGTTGCAGGAACATGCACCTCATGGAAACTAGTCTCACATTCAACATTCTCCATTGCATTGTTGAACACAGCACCTTGTGAAAACTGTGAGGCATTGGTGACGCCTATGAGAGGCATTAACTTTTTGGCACCAGAGGCATGGTTATGGGAGCCACACCATCCATTTTGGTTCATGTTTTGGGCATGCCAGCTGCCATCATGCAACTGCAGAGCTTGGCTTCCATCAAACATCAAATTGTTCTTCAACAGCTGAGAGTTGAGGCATGAAGAAGGCACAATCTGAACACCTGAAAAGGCTGAAATATGGTTGTTGCGATAGTCATCTTTTGAGTGCCAAGCTGCCTCCTGATGCATTGAATAGCTCTGTTGCTGAGCCTCCTGGTTCATGCCATAGCTCTGCTGCTGGAACCCGGAGGCACAACGCATTTTCTTCGATATATTTCGATCTGGGTTGTCTCTGATCATGTTGGAGTTGCCATTTATAGGCTTGGTTTGAATGTAATGCTAGTTGTGACCAGATAAGAATGCATTTCAATCGTATATTTTGAAAGAATAGCATCATCTAGAAATGCTAGGGGAATGGATGTGATTCCCATTTTACCTGAGGATCTTATCTTTCATCAACGAGGAAGGAAACAAAGTAACACACAGTTGAATCAATTGGTCAACAACAGACCGTGGGGCCAATACACCACAGCGACAGATAGGCAGTGCATTTTCCAACTACAAGAGTTAAAAGGAACGAAAGTATTTTACGAATGATCCTCCACACCTTCATCTGTCCAATATATGTTTTTTTTTTAAATTAATTCTGCAGAAGAAATATTACATATCTAATTGTTCATTTTATTGTTCCTCATTGAAACCATCTCCATTACTTCCCGACAAACTCAGATCCTGACAACTTCAACCAATGCGACAGATGCAAGCTATGAAAAGGAAACTTGACAAGAAAAACGTAAAACTTGCAGGGCAGTGCAGATCATTGATGTACTCGGTACATATAGGGAGAAAAAAGAAAGTTCCAATGAATATCTTCAACCAAAAAGAACATGACAGGAGAAAAGAACATGCACAAGGGCACAAACTGCCCTATCGAGTGTGCCTTTTGATCAATAAAAGATCTAAAAGCAATTCAGATGTCACAAATAAAGTCAGTTCACTGCATAAACGAATAAAATGTCTCATAAACAAAATTTCCCAACAGGGGGAATGCAGGACCGTTGTACTATCTTTCCAGTATATCTGGGGAATCACGCAGTACACCAGAGCTAAGAAAACACAAGCACCTTGTGAAAACTGTTCCCAGCATAGCAGGCTCCCTCTCAGTAGATAGACATGCTCCGCCTTACACTAAGCCCAACTCCAGTGAAAGTTATGTACAAAACATTACCCTAATAAGTACCCAAAAGTCTGTCCAGCCCCCCAACATTTTCAAAGAATGATGTAAAATTACCCAATCATGAGGCACGGCTATGTCAGCGACACACCACAGTCATCGATTGATTGTTCGGTTGAACCCTTAGGAGTCACAGAAGCTGCATGACCAACTATCTTTACAGAAACCGTCATCAAACCTTGCTGGAATAAAGCTCAGCCACTCTCTCTTTGGCAATTACCAGGCAAGAGAAATTTATACCTCTCCGCATCCTCGAACAGATGGGATGGAAGATGAACAGCTGAGAAGGAATGAGGAACAGGTCCCATTTTCCCGATGATTTCCTTGAAGGTGTACTCTTCAGGAAGCATATCAAATAAATCAGACCCCTTGCAGATTACTTTCTGAACTCTTTTTGGGTTTAGATAGTTAGAAAACCTGACTCTGTCATAATGGCTGTATGCTTTCATCTTAAATATGAACTCACTGATATACCGAAAACAAAAGCTACAATGCCACCCTGCATCAGCCAAGATGTCATCTGTCTGCCGATAGTGTGCATACGTCGTCTTCCCTACCCGGTACCTGTGGACTGAGGCTCTCCAACTGTTATTGTCCACAAGAAACTCAAAGGAATAAAGATAGTTCTTCAGCCGAAGATGTAGGATTTCAGGAACCTCATCACACCACCTCAGGAGATTGATAGTGTGTCTGCTTGGGATCTCATCAACATCAGACATTATCAACAAGTCGTCGTCAGTAATACCAGCTATTTT